TCCAGCTCCTGCCATGCTGGGCAAGAGGAATCCCGTCTCATTTCTCACAGCGTCACCCTCCCCACTTACTACACCCCCTCGCCGGCCAAGATCGGCAAGCCAGATTCGAGAAGGTAAACGCGCTGCCACTGCCCGGGAGGAGAACAACATCAGAAATGGGCTCTCTCGCAGCGCCTCCTCTCTCTCTCCTTCTCCTGAGTGGCAGCGGTGCATCTGGCTCACCACTAAGAGAAGGGGTGCGCGAGCTAGGGTTTGCAGGAGTAGCCTCTGCGAAGCCATTCTGCATGCATGGCAGAGGTGCATGGGGCATGTTCCCCCTCCCTTTCCCCTCCCTCTCCGGCCTTGCATCCTCACGTCGTATTGTTTGCACAGAAGCTGCGCATGCATCTATGGGGGGGGGGCTTATTTTAGCGCATGCGTTCAAAAGCCCAATTGGGCTTATTATTGGACATGTCTTAGTTTTGGGGAACCACGGTAGTTTAGTTTATTGTCATTGCAACTCGTACAATGAAATTAAATGCCATCTTCAGTGTACATTATAATTATAAAAAGAAAACACAAACACACATCCTTCACATTCTATACAATTGAATTGAAAACTGATATTGCATTAATATTGGCCTATATAGTAGAATTCAATATAGTTACTGCCCTGGGATAGAAGCTGTTTTTCAGCCTATTTGTCCTTGTTTTTATAATCCTGTTCAAAAAAAGGGTTCCCTAGGATGAGAATGGATCTTTAAGAATATTTTGAACTTTCTTAAGACAGCGGGAGCTATAAAGCTCTTCCAAAGAGGGGAGAGAGCAACCAATGATCCTCAATTTTCCAACTACAGATGCCCCTTGCTCCACAGGGTTCAATCCAATGGTGAGTTGCCCCCAGTTCAGACCGGTTCCAAGAACCGGTAGTAAAACTGTCAGGAGGCTCCGCCAACTGACCTGGATGTCATCATAGGTGATCTGCGCATGTGCAGCTTCTGCACATGTGCAGAAAAGTTGTGGAATGGGAGGGGGGTCAGATACATTTAGGGAAAATAAGACTATCAATAACTACTAGCTGTTATGGGTATATGCTATCCTTTCTGAAACTAGAGGCAATATTGTATTTATAAATTCTAGGGAATATAAATTGTTTATCATCTTCAAGACCTGCTTGCTGGCTTCCTAAACAAATCTGCTTAGCCTCTATGAAAACCAAATACTGAACTGGAGGTCCATAATCTGCTCTAGTCATCAGGTTTGTGATCTATCGCTCCTCCCCCTCCCTCTCTCCCTCCCCCTCTTTCTAACAGTTTACATGAAAAATGTACTTTACAACTATCAGAAAGAAAAAAAAAACTTCCTGCATGTTTTACATAAATCATCCCGGCAACATAATACTTTGGGGAGAGATACAGTACTTACATATATGGTTTTAATCAAATGTGGGTTTTCTCCCCCAAGGTTGCTGAGTAGGAGTTGAATTCTTCAGAATCCCATCTCTGCTTTTGCTTCCAGGAGTATCTATCCATCCTAAGGCTTTATTTCAGCTCTGTTTTCCTCCCTGTCTCATTTTACCATGTAAGTCTCTCTGTGGCAGCATTGTGTGGAATCTGACATGCTCTTCTGTTCCAAAATTCTTCCTTTGACGTCTTTTCCAAAGGATGAGGCATTTTGGAAAGAGATGCTGCAGGAATTGAGTTTTTTTCCCCCTCCTGTACCATAGTAGTGTATGCTGACCAGAGTAACAGTGGATTAGTGGTGGGATTCAAATTTTTTTTACTACTGGTTCTGTGGGTGTGGCTTGGGGGTGCGACATGGCTTGGTGAGCGTGGCTTGGTGGGCATGGCAGGGGAAGGATACTGCAAAATCCCCATTTCCACCTGATCAGTTGGGACTCGGGAGGCAGATGGGGGTGGGGCTAGTCAGAGGTGGTATTTACCAGTTCTCCAAACTATTCAAAATTTCCACTACCGGTTCTCCGGAACTGGTCAGAACCTGCTGAAACCCACCTCTGCAGTGGATCCTGGCCAATCCAAGGACCAACCAGGGTGCATTGCAGATCTAGTACTCTACTCCTTGGTTTTATATGAAGAAATGCAGTGACACTTCTTTGTTATTTTGTCAGATGTAGGGAAAGAAGAAGTAATATGCTGAAATTAGTTACGCTGATACAACATTATCAATGTCTGAACTACTTTTGTTGGAAAAGTAAAAACAGCACAAATTGTTTATGCCCAATGTTGGAAACTTGAAAATATACCAGCCAACGAGAGGATTATTCATAAGATATTAGAATGTGCCGAGATGTATAAGCTCACATTAGAAATAAAAGGCAAGGAAGAAACAGAATTTTATGAGGTTTGGGATAAGTGGTATAAGTGGTTAGAACAGAGAAACAAAAATGTATAGAAATAAATGTAGATAACTGTAAGAGACACATGACACAGTACTGTTAAAAAATGCTTATTGTTATGTAAATTGGAAAAATGGAAAATAATTTTTTTTAAAAAAGTAAAAGTAAAAACAGATCTTCATTCACGGTATCAATAGTTCAAATGTGTAGGATTTACTGCTTCTCAAAAAATAATACATAGGAAAATACCTCTTTCAATTCAGTAACCAAGCAGAAAATCTCTCCCTAGTGCACTCCATTAACCTAAATCTTAGTGCACTCCAGTTGTAATAATCTGAAGCTCCTAATATTGCCAATTGATTGTTGAAAAAAACTACTTTATAGCAAAACGGTCAGAAAGGAAAAGTACTATAGCAAGGTCCCTCAGTGTTCCAAACAATGAACAGTAAATGGGTTCATATCTGCTCTAACAACATTCTCTTAAATTGTCTTTCAAAATTCTATAGAACAGAGAGTTCCAATATTTTTACACCTACAGTTTAGGAAGCCCCCAGGTGATTATATTACAGCCAGTTGAAAAGGATAGCATGAAATTAAAAATGCAATAGGAGAAACACAAAAGCATTCCAAAAACTATGGGAGACACAGAATGCCCCCTTATTAGTCAGCAAGGCGGTACAGATAGTCCTCAACTTACAACCGTTTGTCTAGTGACCATTCAAAGTTACAATGGCACTGAAAAAAGGGACTTACGACCGCTTTTCACAGTTGCAACCTTTGCAGCATCCACCATGATCATGTGATCAAAATTCAAATGCTTGGCAATTGGTTAATATTTATGACTGGGATCATGTGATCATCTTTTGCGACTTTCTCACAAAATCAATGGGAAAGCCCAGATTCACTTAACAACCAGGTTACTAACTTATCAGTTACAGTGATTCACTTAACTGTGGCAAGACTGGTTGTGAAATGGGGCAAAATTCACTTAACAACAGAAATTTTGGACTAACCCTAACCCTAACCCTATCTATATCTGTATCTATAGATTCGGACCTCAGTTGCTTTTTCAGGGAAGCTGCCTCTGACTTCAATTAATTTGCATAAGGTCACTCATTCGAACTGGAGAGCTACATCATTGACCAACAGAAATCTTTTCTTTGTCACTTGGACTGCAGATTAGCTATTTATAGTTATTTTTACAATGAAGCCTCCTTAGATCAGGGGTGTCAAACTCGATTTCATTGAATACCGCATCAGGCTTGTACTTGACCTCGGGGGGCTGGAGGTGCATGGCCAGGGTCGTCGTGGCCAGCTTGATGTCACTCATCAAGGCTCCATTTTGGGCCGCAATGGCCGCCTGCAGCCCTCTACCAGTGAAAAGGGAGCTCGGGAGGACCGTGTGTGGCCTCCTCAAGTTCCATTTTTGCTGGCAGAGGGTTGCAGGAGGTCGTCATCGCCCAAAATGGAGCCCAGGAGGGTCGCACGCAGCTCTCCCAAGCTCCCTTTTCACTGGCAGAGGCACCGCATGCCGGTCCTTTGCTGTTTCCAGGGTGGGCCCATGGGCCAGATCTAAGCACCCTGCGGGCTGGATTCAGCCCCTAGGCCTTGAGTTTGACACCCTTGCCTTAGATCGTAAAAATAGTTATATCAGAACTTCTATCCACAGGTTAAAACAGCTTAAAGTATTGCAGAAATAAATTATATGCCTAAATATTTTACATTATACATAGTAATAATGAATGTTTATAATCTTATCAATATCCCCATTCAGAACTACTTAATTTTTATATTATCCTGCCTCTTCCAGTCATGTTGATAACCCTATTTGCAGTGATCTCTGATCTAGTTTTTAATGCCTAAAATAATAATCATGGTTTTTATGTTTACGTTCATTATGGACTATGATTTTGGCATGATTAGCCTATGAATATAATAAAGCAAATGTTCAACATTATTTCTGAGATTCTTAGCATAAGGTAACATAGCACATACAAAATCTTTTAAAATTAAGCTTTCCTTAGTTTCCATCTAGCTAGAATTTAAAGACCGACCAGATATCTGCTATTGGACAACCTTTTTGAGAAAAGGCTCTTCTTAATTTTAATTTGTTTCATAAGAATTATAAATTCATTGCTTTCTATAATATGGTAGTACAGGTAGTCCTTGACTTACAACCTAACATTTCTACTGCTAAGCAAGACCGTTGTTAAGTGAGTTTTGCCTCATTTTGCTACCTTTCTTGACACAGTTAAGTGAACCAGTGCAATTGTTAAGCCAACAGTTGTTAAATTAGTAACACAGTTGTTAAGTGAATCTGACTTCCCTGTTGACTTTGTCAGAAGATCACAAAAGGGGATCACATGATCTGGGGACACTGCAACCATCATAAATACATGCCAGTTGCCAAATATCCTAACTTTGATCACATGACCATGGGGATGCTGCCATGGTCATAACTCTGAAAAATGGTCATAACTCACTTTTTTTCAGTGCCATTGTAAAACTTTGAATGGTGACTAAATGAATGGTTGTAAATCAAGGACTACTTGTATGCTGTTTGGCAAAATATTATTTTGAATCTTTTCCCTTGTCCTGTTTGTTTGTTTTTTAAATCTAGGACGCGATATATAGTCATTTTTGGCCCTCTTTATCTTTTTTTCAGGATTCCACCATGTGTTCCTCAAACTCTGAGAAGTACCACTCATGACTCAGAATGTTCTCTTAAGGCCAGATAATTGTCACATAGTCGCCTAGACAGGGCTACAGGTTCAGCAGCTGTGTGGCTGGGCCCATCAATCAATTTGTCGAAGAAATGGACACCCATATGGACTTGCTGACAGAGCTCCATCTTCTGGATAAGGTACCTACCCTAGAGCGACTCCGAACTGCTCAGAAACGCAGGGCTCAGCAGTTGAAGAAATGGGCTCAGTATGAGAAGGAGATGCAGCACAAGAAGCGGAAGCACGAGAAAAAGAGGAACGTTGTCTGCTCCAAGAAGGTGTCTTTTGAGGCCAGTGTTGCATTGCTGGAAGCTTCGTTAAGGAACGATATTGAGGAAGGTAAGAAATCCTAAAAGTGAAAATCACATGAATTTTGTAAATCTTAAGTTTGTCTGAAGACATTTTAAAGCACCAAATAGTGTTCCACCAAATAAGATATTAAATTGTGGTAGTCTACACACAACCCAGGTGAACAGCTGCTTGAGAAGGAATCCTTTGATCGTCTATGTTTAGAAATTGTGTTGCCCACATTTTATCTTTTCCTGATTATTACTTATATACCTGGTCTAGACTGTTTTGTTTTCTAGCCCAGAAATTACTTCCAGTAAGTTTGGAGCAGTTTGTTTCAAGGTTGGCACCATTTGATCTTGAACTGTTTTGTAGACATTTCCCTAAAGACATACTTTAGTTAGGTCGTATTAGATTCGCTAATGAAAGCAGCATATTTTTTTTTGTACAATCTTTACATTGTCCTTCTTCCTGATAGATATATTTTGCATAAGAATTTAATGTGGCTGTGTTCACACAGTGTAGGAGGTCAGTTAGTTAATATCTGAAAACCAGGCCACAATAAATGATATTGTGTGAGCAACGATAGAATTGCTTAATTTGGTCTCCAAAAGTTTTTAGCTGTGATAGATGTTTTTATCTAGCATGCAAAGTAGCTTGATGAAATTATTTTCTTACATTGATTTTTATATTTAGTCCAAATGTAGAACAGAAATTAGTCCTGGGTCCATTAGAAGCATTTTAAAGTGACTTAAAAGAAAATGCCATATACTCGTTTCTGAACTTTATAATAAATTGTCAAGGTGCAGTTAAATTTTAAGATTATTCCAGACACTTCCTATTCCTGCTTCTAACATTAGGCATAAATAATTGAATTAGGATAATGTCAAGGATAATATGAACTCAGATAGTAAAGATTGCTGGTTTGGAAAAATATTTGGTATATGTCAATAATGTCATTGATACAGTGGACATGAGACTGGGAAGACTGGAGGAGAAAAAATGGAGGACAGAGGGACCTGACATATTATGGGGTCGCGAAGAGTCGGACATGACTCAGCAAATGAATAACTACAAAAATGATATATGTTGATATACAGTAGTAAATACAATGATGTAGTAAATATAATAAGGAAGTAGAAAATATTATTTGGATAATGTTTGTGTATATTTGGGATTTTATTTTATTCAGAATGATTTGTAAAATATCGCGTAACAAAAAAATTAAGGGGGAAAATATGTGTAGAATACATTTAAGAATGCTAAGATATATTTGAAGGATTTGAAAGAGATTAATTTATACCATTACATTATGAAATTATTGATGTTATCTGCTATAGTTTCAGAACTTGATATATAGGGTGCAGTGTAAAAACGGTTGCCTCAAGGCATAACTTGACATTCCTTTGATGATTGGTTTTTCAGCTGTGTATCTTGCCTTGCTCTTCTTTAAAGCAAGGCTGGTGACATTTTTATTGCAATGCAGTGCATACGAAGAAACTGTTTATCTCTTCTCTACCTAGCATGATCCCATCCTTGCTCAGCTAGATTTCATTGACGTGATGATATGTAAAGTAGATGAGAATTTGGCTCCTACTGCCACTTCTCTTCCAAGACAGTTGCTTCCCCTTGGGTTCTAGTAGGGCTGACCTTGAATGTATATTCTTCAGTATATGCACTTCCATAAAAATGTGATATACACAAGTCCTATTGCTATCTATTCAATTTTAATTCTTCTAGTTTTCTATAATTCTCCAGTATGTATCCAGAAAAGGCCCAACTGAAACTAGTTCCTCTCATTTAAGTGTGCATAGATAGGGCTTATAATAAGGGTTTAATTAGTGAAGAAACTATTTCCCCCCAAAATGAAATTCTTAAATCAAAATCAAAGAAACCACATTTTGGCTTGATATAACGTGTGGATCTTGTTATAGGCTAGGTAGTGAGGGGGCAAGAGGAGCTAAGAGGTAGTTTTCCCCAATGTGTTGACTTCCAGATGTGTTTTACTACAGTTACAGTTACAGTTTACTAGAGTTCTTAGACAGGATGCTAGTTGGGAATTATGGGATTTGGAATTCCCAGAATATATCTTGGTGGCCATGTTGGTGCAATCGAACTTCTGCCTGTGATACAGATAAAAAAGGCAGAGACGTCTTAATTTTTTTTTCTCCATGCTGTCTGGACATCCCTGGGGAAAAATGGTTTTGTAAACTGCATCTAAAACTCCATGAATATGTAAGAATATTAACTTTGAAGTGTTTCATACCATTTTTTTTTCTCAAGGCAAAGGAGAAAAGATGTGTGATATTTGCTATTTATCCTCTCGCTTAGATTTAACAAAGAAAGCAAGGGGAAAAGAAAACCTACCAGAGTCTTAACATACCTTGCTTCAAGTGTTGCTGCTTGTTTGTCTCATATCAGCCATAGGGTTAGCTCTCACATACTAGGCTCTGGAGGGAAAACAGAACAAAAAATAATTCCTACTTTAAAATCTGTCAGTCTATACTAGGATTGATAGGTAGGCATGAGGAAAGGAAGCAAAATCCAGAGAATAATAAAGAATTTGAATGATCTTGTCAGGCAGTATATATCCACAGTGTAATTATTTTCACAGAGGTAACTCTGGAGATCTGCCCCAAAAGCTTTATATTTATAAATAACAATACAACTTGAGTGAAGTTGCAAGTAAAATCTGATTACTTTTGTCTTGCTTAGAGATATAAGTCTCAGCGTGACTAACTAGATGGAAGCAAAAAAATTCTACAGTCCATTTGTACTTAATATGAAGGCAGAACTATAAGCACCATGTAGTGTAAATACTCTAAATAAATAATAGGAGTGCCACAGGGAGTTGTCCAAAAAATCAAGATGGTACCATAGCAGAATAACCAAGACTTGTCTGGAATGTTATTTGCTTTTTGATATATAGGTAATGTAGATTCTTGTTATTAAGTTCAGTTCTCTGTCCTTTTTTCTCCTTCCTGTTCATCCCTCTCCTTCCATGCTTTTTGCGTAGCCAGTACTGCCTATCTTGTATTTGCGCATCTTTTTCCTAAGTGCAGATTTTTGCAACATTTTGTTGGATAGGGCTGAATGTTCAAGGTTATTAAGGTCCTTGTCAATATTTAACAATGTGTTAGGATGTGAATCCTTCTGGAGAAGTAGATCACTGAGCTACGGTTTACACCAAACTAGGAGGTTGGCTTCTACACTAATGAACAAAAGTCACAATTCTAAATTAGTTTGAAAGGCTTGAACATTAGACCAAACATAGTGGTATTCACCTATGAGAAGTGCATAGAAAAATCCAATTCACAAATGTCAATTTGTGTAGATCTGGTTTGGCAGAGTACATGTGGAAAGAGCTAGGAGTACAAATGGAGCACCGGAAGAATATTAGCAAGTGATGAGATAAGAAGCTAAAAGAGTCAATGCAGTCTTGGGCTACAATGATAATAACAATTAATAAATGAGAGAATATTTGTAGCTCAGGGTTGAAATGTGGAGTCCTTGGTGCTCTCTGAACTTGGTTGTTTTTTTGCAGACTTTTCATTACCAGACTAGGTAACAACTTTAAATAATAAATGTGTCCAAATTGCATCGGGGCAGTGGTGGGTTTCAAAATTTTTACTACCGGTTCTATGGGTGTGGCTTGGTGGGCGTGGCATGGCTTGGTGGGCGTGGCAGGGGAAGGATACTATAAAATCTCAATTCCCTTCCCAATCCAGGGAAAGGTTATTGCAAAATCCCCATTTCTTCCCAATCAGCTGGGACTTGGGAGGCAGAGAATAGATGGGGGCGGGGCCAGTAAGAATTTTTACTACCGGTTCTCTGAACTACTGAAAATTTCTGCTACCGATTCTCTAGAACTGGTCAGAACCTGCTGAGACCCACCTCTGATCAGGGGATAATATTCCACTGTATTCTGTGCTTCTTTTAGAGTGTGTAGTTCTAAAATTTTAATTTAAAAGAAATATGGAATATTTTATGGGGATTTATAGGAGAATTACTAGGATCATATGAGGTCTGCAAATCAAGCTCTGTGTAGAAGCTCGACAGGTTTAAACTGACAAAGGCAAAACTAACAGGCGATGTGGTGGGGGTCTACAAATATTTGCGTATAAGCTCTCATGTGCAAGAGGGGACAAGACTGCTGTCCACTGATATCAAGAGCAGAACAAATATGAATAAGTTGAAATGAAAGAATATTCTGGCTGAATATTCGGGATAATTTCTTGATAGTGGAACAGACTACCTAGAACAGTGATGGATTCCTCCTCAATGAAAATCTTCAAATGGAGGAGCGTGGGTGGTACATGCTATCAGTCAGAGAGCGTTTAGTGGATTCTTCCTCAGAGTAGAAGATTAAACTAGATATTGTATGAAATCTCTTCCTTGCTATGATTTCATGGAACCCAAACCCAAACCCTGGAATGGAATGCCATATTAAGATTTCTAATATTTACATGAAACTTTGATGTGGAAGTCTTCACCAGACTATCCCTGATTCTGCCACATATGTTGGACTTTAAATCACAACATTCCTAGCCAATATAAAAAAGAACAGGATTCAAAATCCCTCATATCAGGACACAGTTTGGGAAGATTTGTTTACATCAGCCGATCAAAATACTACAGACAAATTTGGATGGTTAAGGACTAAGTGGACAGCACGGTGAGGAGTTTATAGGAACAGAAGTATGTCACACACTAAGGAAAGTTTTTTTCTTCCCTTCCTGGTACCCATTTTTTTGTGGGTGGAATATTTATTTTTGTTTTATCTTGTTTCTTTACGTGTGTTAATGGAACATGTACTGCCACTTTCTGCTGGCTAACAATCTCATTGAAAATTAGCTGCATTATCAAATTGCATTATCAAATGTCAGTTATATAATTTGAAGGGACAAAGGATCCTGCAAACACAATAACAAAAAAAGATTTTAGGACTGCATTTAGCTTTACAGTTTGTCTTTCTATACTGTAAGACTAATATTTATTTACTTTATTTATGCAGTGTCATAGTCCACAAGGATGGGAGTACACCAATGATA